ATGGCCTCCAACCTACTAGCAATGGCCTCCAACCTCCTAGCGATGGCCTCCAACCTACCTTCAACCTCCTAGCCATGGCCTCCAGCCTACTAGCGATGGCCTCCAGCCCTTGCAGTCTTGCCGGCCTTTACACCTTGCAGTCTTGTTTGCTTCGGGGTTGTCAAAGCGTGTCAACAAAAACAGGGTTGACTCATGTTGCCTTAGTGAGTTTGGGCTTCTGAAAGGATTCATAGCAATGTCTGAACCAATCATTTTGGCCGTAGGTTAAAGACCAGGACTAAGTGACTTGGTGGGGTCTTATCCGAATGCTCGCACTCTCGAGTTCGAATGCTTATCCCTCCCTTCGCAAATGGCGTAGGTTATGCCAAGGCACCACCCTCTCTGATCAAGTTGTGGAAGGCATTGTCGTTCACAAAAATGGTGTTGTAGGTGAAGGGTGCCATGAAGCGTCGAATTGGATGGTCCCGAGACATCTGTTCCCGTAGAGCTGTCACGAAGAGATTCGCTCTTTGCAAATGGATGTCGTACAAATGATCCACCAACGTGACGAGAGTAAACAGGGATGAACGGAATCGAAACTTCGCCCTCTCCCAACCCGAATCTCCAGGTTTCGTTGTGACTGTCTTCTGAGTTCCGTCATCTCGCAAAGGGCCCATACCTTAGGGTCGACCAATGCCGTGCTAATGCTCATGCTTAAGCTAACAGGGGAGCGACCTGTTAGGATTCATCCATGCACGAAACCCCACGCTTCGCAACATCTGCTTCACCGGGTTCGAGAAAAAAACATGTTTCAATGAATCCTGGCAGCCGCTGTCAACAATCATCACCGGGTTCCAAGATTGATCAAAATATGCATCACCTCAAGTGTTCGATCGGCTTTGCAACCCAGTTCGGATTGTTCCAACACACGATGACAACTACAAACTCTGAAAGTGAAGCATACACAAACTATAGGATTATATTGGTAATACTAGGTGAAGAAATGAAGAAACATTATAGAGGAACGACGAGAAATGTAAACTCGGAACTGAACTTTACTAGGTTCAGCATGGTTCGGCTGATGCGCACCTCCATATCTCTCAAAGCCATCATTGACTGGAAGAATTGACAAAGGGTTGGTCCTCACAACCTGCAAAAGCAACGTCAGAGGCTGGGTGCCGCCGGTGCCACCTCTAACCAGCCCTATTGACGACAGGGTAATGCTTGGATATCCGAGAACAAATGACATACAAGTACAAATCATGGCTAGCCTGGCCTTTGGCTGTTGGCTATTGTGTAACTTCAGAAAGTGGCAAGGGCATAGCTACTAGGAGCAAGGACGCTACTAGGGGCTCCTGGCCTTACTACTAGGAACAAGAGACGCTACTAGGAACAAGGGCATAGGGGTCTTTGTATGACAACATATGACAACCTCCAACCTAGTAGCGAACATTGCTCCTAGTAGTAAGGCCAGGAGCGCCCCTAGTAGCGTCCTTGCTCCTAGTAGTAAAATATGACAACCTCCTTTGAACAATTTCTGATTTCTTCCGAACAGTAACAAGAAGCTACGAACGTAACAAGGGCATCGCCACTAGGAGGGATCGGACGCTACTAGGGGCTCCTGGCCTCGCTACTAGGAGCAAAGGGCCTGTGGGGTCTTTGTTGTCTTGGACGCCAGGCCTCCGCAGGTTACTGTGCTGGTGACGCGTCTCTCCGCATCTCTTCCCCCCGCGAACGACGAGACCGGCCAATCCTCTTGAAAGGTGTGCCAACAAACACGCCCAGGCAGTTACACCGATTCGAACCAACACGTTACAGATGTCAACAGGTGTGGTCTTTCTCATTGTCAGGATGGAGAGCACGTTAGAGACGTCGCGCGAGCATGGATGTCGCGCCAAGGGACAAAGAGTTTCTGCCCATCTCGCACTTCTGTGTCTACTCGATGCGCACCGATCCCATGCAAACAGAAGCGGGCCAAAGCATGGTCACTCAATTTGTCAGGCCACTCCTTTCTTCGGGTGAGACGACTTCCCAAATGCAGAGATCTGTCTTTACTTTTTGCAAGGCTGAGTAAGGAAAATAGGATTTCATACTTCTGCCATTTTTGTTGCCTGCCCATTTCACATGTCATCCACTAAACAAAGCAACTCGACGAGTGCTCCCACATGCGCCGGGTGCTGAAGCAAGAAAGAAAGCGCCTTCAAAACGTCCGGGTCCTGATAAATGTCCGGATAAATGGAGGACATCTGCTTCATCACGAACTCCACGGGATTTTCGTCCCGGCCAAAGGTTTCGAAGTGTTCCCTCTCCGGCAACGAGGAGATCGCTTTCTCGATAAAGGTTGGTTCCTCATTGACAAGCAGAATGCACACAGAAAACCAAAAAGAACGGGGAGCCTATAAACAATATGCTACTAGGAACAGGTGCATCGCTTCTAGTAACAAGTGCCTTACTAGTAGTAACAAGAAGCTAGTAGAAACAATATACAGTATATTGTTTCTACTAGCTTCTTGTTACTACTAGTAAGGCACTTGTTACTAGAAGCGATGCACCTGTTCCATGTGTTGTGTCAGAGCATCGATGGGAATTTCCTCTTTTGACGACGCCTAGACGACCCACAGGTGATCGAACCAGTCAACGGTTCACGGAAAATGTGAATCTGGGAATCCGCTCTTTAAGGTGCAAAGTGAGGCACGTCAACGTTTCCAAACTCTTCGGCTGTAGCGAAGGGCACGCGCAAGAAAAGCGCATAGTCCAGAAGGCCCTCACACAGTCTCACAGACTTAGTTCAGTCTGGAGGCCATCGCTCTTAGGTTGGAGGCCATTGCTCTTAGGTTGGAGGCTATTGCTATAAGGTTGGAGGCAATTCGCTCTTACCATTTATGAATATAGTTTTTACTTCAGCTGTGCACGTTCAGCCAGCCAGTCTGGACCTGTTCTCACCCTGCCTTGGCCAGTTCTCCTCGGGGCTTCAAGCCGGAAACCGGCATAAATTCGGGTCCTGGCCGTGTGGAGGACTCGTCGGAATTGCTGAGCTACTAGGAACAAGTGCCTTACTAGTAGTAACAGGTGCCTTACTACTAGTAACAAGAAGCTATTAAAAACAATGAGCTGGAACATATTGATACTTACACCTTCGATGTAAGTACAAAATGAAATGCACAATCAGCTTGTTGCCCATAGTCCATAGTCCATAGCAAACCAGACCAATAGCAGGTGCCGCATGGCCCGGCTAGTAGGCTGCGTCCAAGAAACTTTGTATTTCCACAACGCAATCAATCCCTAAGGCGGTCACTCGTCTCAATTACAGTAATTAGTATGATAAGTATTGCTTGCCCATTCCTCATGCATCTCTTTGCACTCATCAGTGTACATCTTTTGGTATTGCACAAAATACTAGAACCAAGAACTTGTCTTTTCCAATCAAAACTAAGGGTTGGACAACCTCTATGCATACATTGTACATGAGCCCATACAAATCAAAACGCGCAAGATGAATGAAACACCGAGTTGTACACACACACACCGGCTCCTGCATTTGGTGGCACATGGCTCCTAACTGAGTTAAAATGCGCGAGGTACAGAATCTTCTCGTAGACGTCGGTCGGCCAAAAGAAGGGCCAGCAGCCCCAAAACCAGAGGTAGACCCGACAGCAGCACAACGGCAAGCCCACGATCAGAAATGCGACTAGAAGAACTTGAGCTAGAACCCACATACTGAAGCCAGTGAGAATGTATAGCCTTGATGCCAATCGGCTCAAGGTCGAGAACTTTCAGCGAACATACAAAAAGCGAATTGTCCAAAGCTAAGGCGTTGCTTTTTTGTTGCTATTCCAGCCAAGCATCGCGATGCCCGGCAAGGGAACGCAAAAAATCCAGGGAAAGCAAAAGAGCGTTCTGGGATTCTCAAGAGGCTGCATCACAGGCCATCCCTTTCCAGCAGGTCCTCGGGCGACAGCTCTTCCTTCCTCCACCAAAAGAAGCTTCTCTGCTTCCGACATGCTGCAGAGGTTGAGCTGGTCAGCTGCCAGCTAAGTCAGCAATCAAAGTTCTTAAGGACTGGAACATACTGGAAGGTTGGAGTATGTCCTCGTGTTTCACTGTGGTAGCAAAACTGAAGTCAATCTAAACTTCCAACATAAAGACCTACATGAACTGCTTTTGCAGCATGTGGTCTTGGCAACTGAGAGCAAGAATGCACAATGTGCGCGAGAAGTGTTCCCTTGGCTCTCATGTTTCGTTTGACTAACTTTTGGCTCAAACATTTCGCTCAAAGTTGAATGTTTGTAGCTTGAGCTTCATCATCGACCACGAGTCGACCCACGAAAAGGTCGACCCACAACTGCCGGACCTTGACCTTCAAAGCGGCCTCAAGCCTACTATATTGTCATGTCCTCCAACCTACCAGCAATGGCCTCCAACCTAGGAGTGATGGCCTCTTTTCCTGCGCTTCCTCGCGCAAATCTACGACTTGAAACAACCCCTCGCTGATCCGTGCTCAGTTGCAAGGCTTCGAATGCCAAGCCCTTCATGCCGCCCTTTCGTGTTGATCCAACAACAGCTGAGTCTTGAACGTTTGATAAGTCAAAGAAATGTGCGATCGCACTTGCGAATGCATGTGTTGCACCGGGCCACTAGCTGCTTCAAGCAGGGACCCAGTCGGAATCAGCAACAAAAGAGATGCAGCTGGAGCATCGGTTCCAAGATTATTCAAAAGCGCCGCTGGAACGATCCTTCAACATGGAGCTCTATAGACTTCTGCAGGTGCTGGGGCCCCGAGACACTAGTTTCTGGCCATAGCAACAGAACGCCACATAGACACATAGTAGCGATGCCCTTTGCTCCTAGTAGCGTCCTTGTTACTAGTAGTACGGCCAGGAGACCCCAGTAGCGTCCTTGCTCCTAGTAGCGATGCCCTTTGTTCCTAGTAGCTATTTGCTATCATGTACGTAATTCGATTTCGAAGTCTCCGTTCCGTGCGGCTTTGGACCAACCTTCGTCCCCTCTTTAATTTCCAGCTCAATCCGGGTGTCTTCACCGGTCAGATAATATTCCAAAAATATTCCGCTTCCGGAGAGTGGAAGCTCTTATACGGCTTATACGTAGTTGTCCAATCGAACCACGATACTCCTGCACACGGAGATGTCGGAAAGCGCTCTTCCAGAAACCAAAAACAATGAATGGAAAGTGGAAAGCATCGAACCTCACTACGCTCACCTTACTCATCTGTCCACTTCACTGAAAACACATCAAGAGACGCGTGACGCGTGTGTCTCTGACCTGCCCTCAAAGTCGCTTTGGTTCAGTTCCTGGATCGCCCTCTGAGCCTCGATGAGAGCGGCTCCACTTCGACGATCGAGGTCGGTCTGACTAAGACGGTTTGGTCGACGAAAGGGTGTTTTCTGTCAAGATCCGCCCCGTTTTCCAACTAGGAACCCTCCCGGTCAGAAGACTTGTATCACACCAATTCGTTGTACAAGAAGCTACTAGAAACAAGTGCATCGCTACTAGTAACAAGTGCCTTACTAGTAGTAACAAGGTTCGCTACTAGGAGCATTCTTACTGCCAAGAGCTGGACGTCATCCTCTGTCTCAAACAGCACGTTACCGTGGCCTGTGGCGACCAGGTGACGACACAGAGACACGCCCCTGATCGAAGCGGCACGGCCACCGTTCAAATATAATATTCTCGTTCAGGTCGTGTTAGTTTCAAGAAATGCAGCTATGTAAGGCTATGTATTTATACATTTATATAAGCAAGGCACCGACCATCATATGTGGGATGATCCTATTCACTGTTGATTTGTAGAATAGTTTTCTGTATGCTTCTGTATGCGTGTGCCATACTCGTGCAACACTCATTCATGTCCGTGTGCCATAGTCAGGCCTTTTGATTCTCCATTCATGTCCGTGGGCATCTCCACGCGGATCACGTTGCCATATTGCTTGAAAAGATCCTTGCAGGAGGACAAGATCGCCAGTGGGTGTTCTGCAGCATCCACCCACCCAAGGCAGTTCTATGCAGAAGCGATCTCTTTTTGTTCTATGGCAGGGTAAAGAACCGGACTTGTTTTTGGAAGACAACTATTCTGGCAAGAGACCACAAGCAGTGCTGCTAAGTAATTACAAGAATTAACGGTGAAAAAGCAAACTTCACACAGGAAAGCACCAATATGTCAGGACTTTTTCGAGCACAGAGATGAGATGAGCACGCACATGAGAGCAAACATGAGATAACAAACACATGAAAACACACATATCAAAGCGACGAACATGAGAACACACATCTGAGAGCACGGACATGAGAGCACACATATGTAAGAGTACACGCCTGAGAGATCCTGAGAGCACACATATGAGAGCGCGGACAGAACGGACAAGAGGTCATCGCGCGCAAATGCGATGTTATCTTGGTTATCTGAGATCTGCTCTTCTGCGATATGCTGTGGCTCTCCACTTCCTCATGCAAATGGCTTGTCCCACAGAAATCAGACCACTAAGCGGTGGTCTGACTAACAGGTTGTTCGGGGCTCCAGAATTCTTCAGTTCAAATCCGTGTCATCTTGCCGGCGCGTCTTGCGCCAGCCCTGGCAATGGGTGCCGCGGCAAGACCAGCTTGAGAGAGTGATCCCTTCAGTTTGGTGAAGTTCAACTAAGGTGTCCTGCTAGCTGCCAACAGGCTTTGTCTAGCAGCCAAATATGAAAACCTCACCATGGCAACAGGCTTTTTGAGAAGGAACACCAACTTGTTGATGGTGTACTGGTGTGTCTGTACACCTTGGATTAACTCAGTTGTTTTGTTTCACTTTTTGGAGCAGGGCTGCACGGTAGTCGGGAGGAGTGGACGGTCCGAGAAGTCAGTCACCTCTCGTGAACGGCAATTTCCGTTCTTTGGAAACGGGCAAAGACATGTCATTCGAAGTCAAAACGCTGGATGTGACACACTGGGCCGAAGGAAGCTTTTGGTTGAAATTTGCTGCTTTGGTTGAACCCCTGTCGATTTAGGCCTTTGGTTACTTTGCAGGTTTTGTGACATTCAGTCTGTACGTACTCTTTTCTCAAGTGTGTGCATGCTGGTATATGTGCTGGTATATGTAGAGTGTTTTAGTAGGCCATTGGTCAACCCCTCAAATGTGTAGAAAGAAGGCGATGATCAGCGGAGTGGAAGGCGGTGACGTGGATGCGTGCTTTCGGCCGGCCCGATGTGATGATTCGGAATAAGTAGGATACTGTGTGAAGGAACGAAAAAGAAAGGCTTCGTCGGTCCAAGAAAGAAACCAGCAAAAGAAGAAACATATCTCTCCAATATCATATGATTGAACCCTGCGGCACTTCTTGGTTGGGTCGCCAAAGTTCACATCACCAAAGGTTAAACCATTGTTGCGCGTGGTCTTATCCGCACATCTGATACTCTGCTTGCGGTAGCTAGCTCTTTGCATGATCAAAGGAAAGCGACGACATCAAAGTTGAGAATGGAAATGTCCAAGCAATTGAGAAATCCAGCAGCCAACTATGTCAGTCCACCACTATAGTCTGCAGTGCGCGACAGTGGCAAAACATGAGGAACAAACCTTATGAGAAAGGCCTGCGTGTTTAACAAGCGTCCAGGTATGAGCTTGTGAAATCGTCCCAACATGGTCTCAAAATGAGGTCAGAAGCGTGGCTGACAGCGTCCCATCTGCTGGGAGCGATGGGATCCATGGGTTCTGTTTCTCGACTTGGATCTGCTGTTAGCTTCCCACTGTCGTGGCCTTCACTTTCTGCCAAGGAATTCCAGATGGCAAGTTCCCAACCTCGGACACCGGAGGGAAGCTGGAAGGAAAGGGGAGGAAGAAAGAAGAAAAGGTAGAAACTCTGAACGCTATTCTTGCACTAGGGCAGAAATTTGCACTGAGCCACTAGGAAGGCCCATCCAAATCAGTTGCGCACACAATCTTTCGAGATTCCCTTCACAATCTTTAAAAGCAGAAACAAACGCTGATGGTCCATAATAGGGAAATCAGGAGTCCCGCACCTTTTCCGCTATGCCAAGTTGCATAAAGCAAACGCCCCCGGTCGCCAGGGCCAACTTGCAGACCCTGCAAAACGACGAATGCACAGCAGTCTAGCTGTCACTTTCCGTGCTGGCCAAATATGGCAGCTACTCCACACTTTGAGGAGTAACATATGGTGAGATAGTGACACATAGTAGTAACGCAATTTTTGGAAGCAACACAAAGCATCTGTTCGTTTGTCTGAGAGTGTGCCACAAGTGACGCCCTGTGTTTTTGAAGGCTGACGCCTGAGGGCGGGGGGAGCTTCCTTGAAGAAGCGCTCGCACTAATGATTTGGTTCCTAGATGTTTAGGGAAACTAATAGGAATGGCCTGCAACTGGATAGGAAAATGGCCTCCAACCTAGAAGCGATTTGGTTCCTAGACCGACTTAACTTAAGAGTGCCAAACCGTTGACATGCCCCGTTCACCATCCCCCTCGATCCGTCGCAGGTTCTTCTTCCACACGGCAAATTGCACAAACATCATGAGGACGGTTCTTCTTCTTCTTCTTCTTCTCACAGGAGCACATGTGAGAATACAACTCTAAGAAGGCGAAGATCGCAGATCGATCAGATGCCTTCTTTGCGTTTTCAATCTGCAGAGAAGGGCAGATTGTTTGTCTCAAAGACCCTTGTCGTGCTGATGTCGTACAGCTCTGCTGCATATGCTGGTTACAGGACCATGCTTGATGTTCGGCTTGCAGTCAGCCAGTTGCAATACCGTCTCTCTGTACGTCGTTCGCATACTCAGCCAGCACAAAACGACTCTACGAGCTTCAGACCGTCATGGACATCATCCTCGCCTTAAAATGCTGCAATCACTGGGAACTCGTTGCGTATTTTGTTGCTGATCCAATTTGTTTGCTTTGGGAACTCTTCTTTTCGCTCACATGCGAAATCCTGCTCCTGCTCCGCTCATTCGGCCAACTGCCCTTTTGTCTCCATCGCTTCTAGGTTGGAGGCCACTGCTATGAGGTTTGATGTTTTTTGTCTCCAATGGGTTGCAACTTCTCGACCCCATCGCTTTGGAGGCTCAACGCTCCTCGCTTTCATCGTGCTCACCGGTACCACGTCGACCAGAAAAAATCGCCACCCGACACCACCGGTGGTCGGGTGGCGGCGACAAGTGCGACTGATGCGATGCCCGCAGCTCACAGGTACTTTTCACCACTTGCGAGGCAAAAAGCCCCGAAAGTAGTGTCTTTGTTACTATAGTAGTACGGTCAGGAGCCCCGTACTACTAGCGTCCCTGCTCTGTTCGGTTCGCGATGCACTTCAGTAACTTGTGAGAAACACAGTAAACCAAATCACCCCATGACAACATCCCAACATCTCTTCCTGGGACTTCTGGGTATCTAGATGGTGAAAGGACGCAGCGTTCTTCGTATGGATGAGCTTCTCGACTTTCGAGCTGGATCGCGGTTGGCATTGTCTTGGTCGCGGTTCACGGTTTCACGGCATGTGTTTTCCAACTGGCTAGACCAATGGCTCCAAGTCTTTTCCAAACCAGACACCGACCTCAACAGAAACAGCAAGATCACAACACAGACATCATGAACCCACCTGCCCGGACATTCAGCATCACTGCTCCAACCTACTAGTTGGATTAAAGAAAAGGAGAGACCGATCGCCTCCAACCTACGAGCAGTCCGTGTGGCCCTTTAGTTTACAGGACGGACTGCTCAAGTTATCTGAGTGTTCCATCGAGGTCCTGCGGCTTCTTCTGGTTTGGTCCCCAACATGTTCCAAATGGTCTCGTCTCCGTGCCTTCCCTTTGCCTTTGCCTTTGCCATCCTTGCCGTAACCTTTGTCAAAGCCCTTGCCGTAGCTCTTGCCATAGCCGTCCCCCTTCTCACCCTTTTTCCCTGCAAACCAACTTGACATCTCCAAGTTCAGTCGGCAAAGTTTCAAACCCTTGTGAAACTGTTGGATCAGTGTACAAGAAATTGGATGCCAAGAACACTGTCTGTTGGATCTGCCTTTGCCATCTCCTTTGTCGCCCTTGAAACCTTTGCCCTTTCCATCTTTCCGGTCCTGGCCACAAACGGTCCAGGCTCGGTTGGAGCTAGCTTGGAGGCCATCGCTAGTAGGTTGGAGACCATTCCTATTGGTCCCCACGAACTTGTTGGTTTTTTGTCAAAACATCGACCCAAGTCCTTAAGAGTCAGGACTTCAGGCCAGAAACCTGAAGGGTCTGCTGGGTCCAAGCCTAGGAGCTGCCTACTGTCCTAGCTACTACTTACTTACCTCCTTCAGGGCTGAGAAAAAAACAGTGGCAACGTACCCATAGATGTTGAGAAAGAAAGACCGACGAAACATCCAAGATGTTCAAACCTCTCAACCATTTAGGGCTCACCAACCTAGAAGCGATGGCCTCCAACCAACCATAGCGATAGCCACCTGAACGCCAAAAAGGACCTCTCCGTCCTCCCGGACGAAGATCATGCGCTCACCCAGCGTGGAGTCATTGAGTTTGGCGATGGCGGAATTTGCATCCTCCCAGCGATGGCGGCCGAGTCATCCGAGTCAGGTCGTCATTTGCCAAAGAAAAACTTAATCCCGGCAACTACCGTAAGAATCCCTAGTGTGTCCAGGAAGTTCTAAAAAACTGCAGGCACTTCTATCAAAGTGAGGAAGCTCATGCTCAAGCACATGGTTGGTGTCTTGGTGCTGAGCTCCTCAGGGGAGGTGAACTGCACCAGACCAACGCCTCTGGATCTGCCAGTGCTATCTTGGAAGATTTCGGCCTCAAGAAGTAAGAGGGCAATGGAGGCCATCGCTAGTAGGTTGGAAAGTACCTGTGACTCCGACCTCAAGGGCCTCAACCTCTGAAGAGCCACTTTACCACATGACCTGGGATTCGCCCAGTTACGGCATCTCAAATGTAGTTATTAATCTATATTATGTACTTGTATATATACATATACGTGTATGTATAGTTGCATATCTTGAATATCCACCAAGCCTGACCTGCGGTGAACAACAACTCCTGCTGGCTTTGTTGGCGCTTCTCAAACTCTCTTCGACGTATCACAACTCCTCAATCTAAAGGATCAAAATAAATAGCATCCTTGCTTCGTTCGTAGCGTGGCACTTGATCCGTTCGTAGTAATGCCAGGAGCCCCGTTCGCGTCCGACTCACTGAGTCTCCCAGCACTCACAACTTCTCCAATAGACTCCATGTGCTCCTCACCAATCGACCGGCTTGGCCCGGACCACAAGCACTGGAGAGACTCTATTGTTTTGCCCATGGCCCTGCCACCTTACTTAATTGAGTAGAGACTGCCTACTTGATTAAGGAAGACCAATTCGCTACTAGCAATCGTTCGCTCCTAGGTAGGACGCAGGATAGCTCGCGCACCATCATTTGGTTCCTAGATGTTTAGGAAAACTGACACCCTGAAAAAAGGAGGTTGGTGTTGCCCCTTTAAGTTTGTACAGCGATACTCTTCGAGGTGCAAGAGGTTGGGGCTTTGCCGGCTGAACCTGAGAAAGAAAATGTAGAAGTGGTGGTATACACCATACTACCCACATTTACCGATCATGTTGAGCCATCACACCATATCAATTGATGGACGTGTCCTTGAGTTCAGCAGATGTGATCTTCCAGTCAATGTTGCCCACATAGACACGACTAGGCCCGCGTGCGCGTGCGTTTCAGTGCAAGAACTGGAGCTTAGTGGAACTGTATTTGATCGAAGATGAAATCACACAACTGGGGGAAAGACAAACCTTCGAGCACCTGGTTGGATGAATCACACCACTGGTCCTTTGGGGTGATACCCGTGATCCAACCCAAGCAAACGGTGAGATGGCTGCTTTTAAGAAACAATGGTGATGTGTACAATCCAAGTATCCCTTCACCGACAAATCTTGTGCATGGCTGGCCTAAGCCCAATGAGTGGAACTTAGGGCTCGAGAGCACAGCCTTGCCGGGCATTAGCCCTTTAGCCAGATTTAGCCAGAGCGGCAGAGAAACAAAGGAAAGATAAGGAAAGAGAAGAAGAGAGACGAGGGTCCAAAGGCTGAGCCGGCTGAGCAAGGCACTCCATCTTGGGCGACCTCATGGGGGCGAGGAGGTCAGAAGCGACATGTTCATCGTAGAGGCCATCGCTCCTAGCTTGGAGGCCATCGCTCTTAGGTTGGAAGCTATCTCTTCTAGGTTCACATGTCGGTCACAGCACAGGTCGATCAGGACATCTCCTGACCCTTCCTCTTTTAGCATGCGTTACCGCGGAGCATGAGATGTCTGTCCAATGGCTGGCAGAACGGTTCTGTCCATGTTCAAACCAATGTCTTAACTCTTAACATACCCCATGTTAATGTCAATGTTATCCAATGTTAATGTGAATGTCAATGTCTTCCTTTTTGCCCAATACTCTTGGTGATTCGTCCGCCACACGGTACCGGATGGCCAACTTAGCGCCCGCCGCCTGCACGACCTGTTCCTTCTCGACCCCACAAAGGGGAAAGCGCGCTCCGCGCGGTTCGTACCCGGAACAAAAAATTGCTACCGAGCCATACCAAGCAATCGACATCGATCAATCAAGCCATGGAGGAAGGACTTCATGGGCCCTTCCCTTGCGAAGGACTCATACGTAGATCAGAACCAGAAACTCTGTCTGAATGTGCGCTGATCCCACTTGGGATGTCCCTTTGTGTGACTCATTGATAGTCATTGTGCAAAGCTTTGGGATCTTCAAAACACACAGAATTGCCAGCATGTCCCTGCTTCTACATCAGAATTGCATGATCATGTCGTACATGTTGTATTCCCGCATCTGTCCCGATCCGTCTTTTTCTTGAGGCTGTCAGTCCTGTCCGCCCTGCGAGTGACACAACCCGAGCGAGCAAGAAATCATTCTCTTCCTCGCTCAAATCAAGCAGGTTAATTCCATGAACACAATATAAGACAATATAACAGAATCATATATGCTCTCATCTAAGGCTTTTGAACATGGAAAAATGGCTTTTGATCATAGATGATTCATTCACAAACCGCAACTGCACCGCATTTGAGGACACATTCTGTAGCTGTAGCTGCCTACATTGTTGTGAGACCTAGACATAGCCCTGCCATTTCGGCATACATCTAGCACCGGCTCTGCTGGCTTGGCCATTTGCGAGCGGTGAGGACTTTGGTGGCGGAAGTGCTCTGGGAATGTCAAATCTTCTTCCTAAGGGCATTACTACTAGTAGCAAGGACGCTATCTAATCTTGGAAGACACCAGGAGGCCATCACTATTAGGTTCGAGGCCATTGCTATTAGTCTTGGAAGACACCAGGCACCAAAGAAAGGGCAAAATATGTTGGCTTCAAGAACTCGTGATCACTGTCACAATTGATCAGCTTCACCAAAAAGGAGCTGATAGTCCTTGCAGTTCTGCAACGAATCCGTGAAGACAAAGCGACTTTTTCAGGAATCCACACCTAGAACATCTCAAGCTGGCCGTGTTCAACTGCATTGAGGCACTCGGGTAGCTATTCATTTTGCAATTCTTGCAACAGCACTCCTCCATGCTCTCCAAAGTGTGCTTGGGCCTTGGGGTTCAGACCCTTTTCAATGTCTTGCCCAAGGTCGCATGCCACTAACAAAATCACCAAGGAGAACTGCATGGACACTTTGGAATGACCCCAGACTGGTGCTCGGAGCTCTCGTAGAAACCTGCTGTGAAGCGGTGTTCACCCATTGGGCTGTCGGTCTCGCCCACCCAAGATAGCGGCAGGAACTTCTTCAGTTCACGTCCGTGTTCACGAAGCAGCCTGGAGTGGAAACGACACATTGCTCTTCACCTCAACGACACATGGCCTCCACCCTAGTAGCGATGGCCTGTGATATGGAGTGACGATCCTGGGAAAAAGCTTGCCCCACCCAAAAAGATCCAAAAAGGCACACGGCTGAACATAGATAATTGGTGCGATACCTTTTGTCAATGGCGCAGGATTGCTTCATCCAACATTAGGGGAAATGCCTGATCCACTCCAAATACCACCAGGCCCAGGGAAAAAGGGATTGTCCTTCTTTTAATGTGGTGTTAGTGTTGCCCATCAACAGTTCCTGTGGCGAGAAAGGGGTTCGTTTCGCTAGCACATCAACGTTGACACTTCAGCGGTTTCAGCAAAATCCATCTAAACTCTGAAAGAACCTCATGGAAAGCCTTTTTCGTGCTTGGTTCTTCATGTTTGTGCACAAACACCAAGGTCCTAGCACAAGTGCAAGCATGCTCTCAACAGACAATTCACATGAGTCACTATTCCCAGCCTACGTCTCTCTTCTTCAATGATCACCTTCCTTTCATCTTCGAACTTTCGTAAGGATTCTTCCTCCTCCTTCTCCTTCGCCCGGGCTAATTCGTACCTCAGTGAATCAAGCGTCAGACGGACGACAAATGAAGTAACGAAGAAGAAGCCAGACAAACCGACTCAACCGACCATGGTGGGAAGAGATGGTGCAGTGCATGGTATGTTTCTAGGTGCGGAGCCTCACTTTCACCCACTCCAAACCACAACGGAATCGAGTGTTGCGCCGTAAGGTTGAACCACAAACGGAGTGTGCGTCCGAGTTCACACACGGACGCACACGCGGTGGCTGAAGAAGTCAGAAGATGCAGGTACCCATGTAGGTGTGGGTCTATTCATGCTTCCTCTTACCAGTCGCCTTCGTGTGCACCCTATGTCTGTTTTGCAATGCCCACGTCTGAACACAACAGACTCATCGGAAGAAGGGTACCATCCCGCCAAGTCCGATTGCAAGTCGTAACCGTTTAACCGTTGGAAGTGGCGTGGCCGGCACCGCCTTCGTCATTTTCTGACCCAAATTCCATCAGCCAACCAGTGCTCCTTGCTGTCCATGGAACATTTCACGTCGAAGCTCTACCAGGCGCTCAGCCTCCCGCTTGTGCTGTTCCACCTGCCAGGAGGCTAGGATGAAACACAGCTGCACGAAGTTGCTACGAGTAGAAGACATGCAACGCTTGAAACGGTTGACGTACCTGTGAAACCTGAAGAAACAACGCTAGTTTCACAATGCTTCGTATTGTGACCTTCGATGTTCAGTCGTCGTTTCATGCGACTGATCGGTACCACCGGGTACCACAACATGGGCTCCAACATCGGGTGAGTCTTGGACCACGACGGCTCCAACATGGTCGACGTTCGCCTTCATGCGTCGCTTGTGCTCCGCCATCTGCTCCAGGCGGTCGTCTTCGGCAAACTTCTTCATCAGCTCGTCCCGCATCTTCGCCTCGGACGGCTGAACACTGCTCATAGGGTTTGGAGCGGTTCACTATGGAAACCATCGAGGTCATATATGGACATGGGATTTGCTCACTGGTTCATGAGAAACTTTGAGACATGTCAAGTCAAACCACCTCGTCTTCCCTTGCGCGCATCATCTTCTCCTCCTTCCTGCGCATCTGAACCAAGTACGCGTTCTTCATTTCCTGCCGGGATCACTCTAAGCTTGTGACTCGGCAATCATAATATGATTGGATGCACACCTCCCAAAAATCTTTGAACCACTCTTTTTTCCAAAAAATCTAAGAACCAATTAATAGTGTGAGCGCTTCTTCAAGGAAACTTCCCCCACCACCTTCAGCACGGCCGGGGAACTTTCTTGAAGAAGTGTGAACTATCCTGCGTCCTACCTAGGAGCTTACCTCCTTGCTTCATCAAGTAGGCGCCTACTTAATTATGGGCGGGCTACCTCAGACCCGCCCATGTCCATCCAGTGCAGGGTCTGGACAACGCCGTCCTCGCGGTCTTCCAACTTCTTCCGCATCCTCCAGGCCGCGAGCGATGCGTAGAAGAGGACAACCACTGGAAGAGATCTTGTTACTAGTAGCGTCCTTACTCCTAGTAGCGATGCCAGGAGCCCCGAACGTAGCTTCTTGTTACCACATGGAAACATGTTTTTTCCTGAAAACCACTGGGGTTTGTAGAGGAACATCGTAGGCACTTCACTTCGAGTCGTCGCGGAGCGTGCCTGACATCCTCCGGAGTGAGGGTGGTGCGGATCGTAGCCATGACATATGTATACGTGGAATGGAGCATTAGACAGCTTTGAATACCCAGCTGATTGAACAGATCGAATTCGACCTGGTGAGACAGCAACGTTTCCTGAGTTCAGATTGCCCTGGCACCCTGCAAGGTCCTCAGCACTTGTTTGGGTCAGGAAGGAACGCCGCTTGATTAAGTCCAACTTCTGCGGTCAGAAGCTGTTGCTCTGCAGCGTGAGAAGTTCACCGGTGGGCCTTTTACGACAGATCGAGGGTGTGGCGAAGTGATTGAAGATGGTAAGCCTGAGGCTATGGTGCAAAAGCGGATTTTGTGGACTAACATCTGGATGCTGTTGGATATCATTGTTACGGTTGGTTTCTTCGCATTGTGCTTTGAAGTGACAAAGACGCATATCATCCGTATATCATATTATATCAGTATTGTATTCTTGATGGAGTTTCTTTGGAATCATCCCGGTCTGCTTGCTGTACAGTTGCCAATGCAGATCTTGAATTCCCTCTGTTTCCGGGGAAGTGGAGCGTGTATCAGACTTTCTCGTCGAGCGAATTCAGCCAAGTGCCAAAAATTTGTCGCTGCAAATTTGTATTTCTGACGGTCGAACTTTTTGTCGAAATCCGTCGCTCTGACGGAGGGTTTGCCTTGTCGGATGCACACTGGATGCAAGGAGCGCATATCCTTCAGCTTATGTCACTGTACAGTTACCATTGTGGAATAGCAGCAGAGGCTCTGGTTTCATGATGCGGGCGTGTGATGGCGTGTGTCTTTCTGGCTTCGGCGTCGGTCCTGCTGGTCACCGAGAGGTGCGGTTATTTCAGGCGGAACACAATGTTGTTTCTCGCTCATGCTCCTGAAAGCATCCATTACTATAGTAGTTATATACAAGAAGCTACTATAGGTTGGAGGACATCGCTATTAGGTTGGAGGCCATCGCTACCAGGTTTGGCGGCCATCGCTCTTAGGTTCTAGATTGGAGGCCATATCGCTATTAGGTTGGAGGCCCTCGCTACTAGGTTGAAGACCATCGCTACTAGGTTGAAGACCATCGCTACTAGGTTGGAGGCCATCGCTGGCCATCGCTATTAGGCTGGAGGCCATCGCAACTAGGTTGGAGGCCTTTGCTATTGGGTTGGAGGCCATCGCTACTAGGTTGCAGTGGGTTGGAGGCCATCGCTACCAGTAGCAAGGCCGCTACTAGATGAGATGATGAAATGCTGACCTGGACCTGATGATACTAGCAAAAAAGAAAATAGATAATACATAAATATCATAGTAAACTATATATTTTTGTCTGGGGCCGCTGGGCTTGATTAATAGGGGGAGGTGTCTGGTGAGGAAAACACAAAATTATTAGGGGAATGTCAAGGTGGAAATTCATGTTATAAATTAGTTTAGTCTTTGGGGCTCGAGCTGGGCTTGATTGATAGGGGGAGGTTACTTAATCCTAGGTTGACATTGGCAAGGACGCTACTAGTAGTTAAATGCTCCTCTAAGCATCCATTAGCAGTTGGATTTGACTTAGCAGCCATTAGTGTTTCTTTTACGACCATTGTTTACGATCAGATGAAAACCGTCTGCTTGTACATGTTTTGACATTTTGATCATGAGATGAAAACCGTCTGACATCAGCAAGTTCTGACTTATCTCCTTGCTGACTCTCTTGTCATTGTACATGCAGAGCTTCCAGTTGAGATTTACCTCTTGGAATATCTTCCTTTCTTGATTCTGACCCTTTGTCATATTGTTCAAAGTCTGTCAAGTATCCGACGTAACATCAAGGGGCATGACAGAGCAGCGAGACCCGTAGGATGTGATGTAGAGGAAATTTGTCTTCCAAAGGTCCATGTTCAGGTTCCATGTGTGTCTCTTCTGCGGTGTAAAGTGTAAACCAAACCTACGATGTTCTGAACCAAATACGACATGCGAATCTGAGATGTTCTCTTGTGAAGGTACCTAGTCACCCGGGTTTGCAGAAAGTCACGCGGCCGCAGGTAAACGCAGCGCTAGTCAAAAGTCACCCGGCTTGCCAAAAGTCACCCGTTTTATGTTAAAATACCATGTAAATGCCATGTCACTTGTGTGTGCTTACCAGACTGTCATGAAGTGTTTGATGTGAAGGCCTTGCGCACCCAATACACATTCAAAACCATCCAACTATATATAACTATATATATATTATGGAAAATGGAACCCCCTGGTTTAACTATCTGCTTTTGCCAAGTTTGTGTGTTTTCCATGTCAAACCAATTCTTGGAAGGAACACCGGTACAACCTCTCCGAGACCTCTCCAAACTCAGGGCGAGAAGACCCACGCTGTGACAAGCCGCCGCTCCTCATCTCATCAAGTCTTCGAGCTTCTGCTTGAAGCTCTTCGAAATGCAGCTCATTTCGAAGGATCTCCAGCTCCTTACGAAACTATTCCAAATCGAGAGCTGATTTATTCAGAGTTTGGAAGATTTGATCCTGACAGCAAAGCATGGAAAAAGCATAGAAGAAGCTTCAAATGACTGCTTGTAACCTTTGTGGAAAAATCAGAAGCCATCTTCTTCAATATCTTTTGAGCTTTGCGCTCCAACTGCATTAGGCGTGACTTGGAAAACAAATGATCTGTGTCTAGCGCACATCAATACCGAAGAATGCAGTGTCTTGCGTATATGAGTGTGTATGTACGTAGGATTGCGTAGGTGTTTCTCCTCTGCTTCCTTGTTCTTGGCCTGCCCAACACAGGGACTTGAAACGTTGACGCCAAAAGGTCAAAAGCTGAAGTCTATTCAACCTACCATCTCCACCCTACTAGCGATGCGATGGCCTCTAACCTACTTGCAATGGCCTCCACCCTAAAAGCTGAAGTCTCTGCTTCTCTGCATCTCTAAACCACGGATTCGGATTCAGCGTGACCTCCATCTTGCCGAGCATCGCATTGAGGACGCGAGTTTTCTCCTGGTCTTGGACAGTTTTTTTGGCGCAAGGGGCCATGTAAATATCTGATTCCCAAACCTGGTGTCAAGTTATATAGTTAGGAGTAAGCGACATACTTTCGAAGCAACACAGTTGAAAATCAGAAAGCGGCTCCTTCTCCTTTTCTTGTCGCTCTCGTTCCATTTGCTCCTGACGGGGAGTGATTTCATTGGAAAAAGCAGGCCAGGTGAAGCTGTTCAAGGCAAAAAGTCTTGTACATGCAAACAAGCAGAAGATCGCAGAGCTATGCAGAGCTAAAACTCAGGGGCTGCCCGCTGCCGGCGTTCTCCTCACGTTCGCGCTTGTCTCTAGCGAACTGCTCGATGCGCTCATTCTCTGCTCGCTCATCGGCTTCAATCTTTTCTTGATTGGCTTTCCTTGAAAGTGCAGGGGGTCAAGACAATGATCACGAGGCGCTTCGCAAGCCTTCTGGTATTTCGGGGGGATTCATGTAGATTCCATTTTTAGGCGCTCTTTCTCGATTTTTCTTGGGACCTTTGGGCCAGTCTTTTGGACCTGTGGGCTTGTTTTCCTTTAAACAAAAAGAACAAACACAATTTGAATTCACCAAAAACAACAAACACCCTAGCTGCATTCCAACTCAGTCTGAAAGGCTGTTCGAGCATGAACTGCTGCAGCATCACCCGTGACCTGCAATGTCAAGAACTCCAATGGCTGGAATTCAAAGGTGCAAAGCAGCTACAAAGATCAAAATTCAGAATGTAACTCATCAACTACACAGCGACTGGGGGCTAGTTGTGTCCCGGTAGAAATTATGTAAGGCATCATTTCAAGCAAATGAATGATCTGCTACCTCAAGCTGATCGCAAAGCATCGTGCTTGTCAAAGGTTGCCAACCAAGAAACTCAACTTGTTTGTCAGATCGAGCTTTTGCTTCTTTGGCATCTTCTTCAGCAATTTTTGCAACTAATTCTTCCACTTGCTTGCGCTCCTGAAGCCCCGCTGTCACACAAAAATCAATGGATCTCGACACATCCCTTCCGAGAATCTCAGTCTCCGCAATTTTACGTGAGAACTAAGGTCCTTCACATATTCTTTGAACGCTTCTTCCCGCTGTGCCTGCCAGCGCTCTCTAGTGCACCGTGCCCCAGCAGCACAGCACCCCCCATAAGAGCGATGGCCTCCAACCTACTAGCGATGGCCTCCACCCTAGTAGTGATGGCCTCCAACGTACTAGCGATGGCCTCCACCCTACTAGCGATGGCCTCCTTCATGGCAATTTGCTGCTGGTTGATGACCTTTACACGTTCTCGCTGTTTGCGCTTTTCGATGTCCAACTTGTACTCCAACTCCTAATCGATCAAAACCAGACACTGAGCAGGCGTGGATTAATCAAATGACACAACAAGAACCAGGGTTGGTATCCATAGCGTGTATCATCCAACCTTATTTCCTCAACTTACAACTGTGTTTAGGGTTGGTATCAGGAGCACTTCAACCTGTTGGGTGTGTCCTAGCACTAGAGCCATGCCATAGCCACATTGACAAGTATGTGGGCACTTTCCATCGCCATGGCTTTCGTCCTGCTGCTCCAAGCGCTCATTTTCCATGTGCTCAGCTAACGAGTGATCGGCCAAACGATGCTTCTCCTTCCGGACCTTGATGGGAGAAACAACTCACAGTGCCAATTGAGAAACACCTGGGAGCAAGGACGCTACTAGGGGCTCCTGGCATCGCTACTAGGAGCAAGAAGCTACTAGTAACAAGGGCATCGCTACTAGGAGCGATCGGACGCTACTAGTCCCATGAGTCTCACGAGGATCGAAAGAAACAACTCGATGGCCTCCACCCTAGTAGCGATGGCCATCGCAGGAACAAGACCGGCAAACACTTCTGAGATAAGGGCTTCTATCTCCAGCAACTGCTGCGCACGCTCCTTGCCAGGATGTCTTTGGATACGGCCAGGAACGATGATGGGAAAACGCCGCCGAGTATTTTTCGGCGAACACATTGTGTTCCATCACGGAGGGCGTCCCCAACGATCACGGTCCCGAATTTTGTTCGAGCTCCCCAACCATCCTCTACAAGCAGAAGGAATCAAATCTCAGCCAGTAAAGGTTGTTTGCCACAAAGCCTTTTCTTTTTGTGGTTTGACTCTCAGTCTTGTTGACGCAGCATATCACTTTGTTCCAACCTATAGGGTGATTCTTCAAACACAAAAAGTTCAAACCCGTCGCTGGGTGTGAACAGAACTCGTTTTGCTATCTTTTTTTAGGATGTTCACGTCCCCACGTCGTCTGATGTCGCACGTCGACGTCCCACTCTTCCTTGTTCACTTTGGCCATGTGCAGTCGCTCTTTCAGGGCTCTCAGCTCTTCAGAGCCATCGCAAATGCGCCGCCGGTCCATCCTCGTCGGGAAGGGTCCGGGGATCGCCATGCAGCACGGCGAGCCGTCAAAACGCCGTGTCCGTGTGGTTTGCCCTACATGGCGGTTTCCCCGGACAGGAAAGACTTGAGATAGGACCGGGTGAACGAAAGGTAGCAAATGGGCGGGAAGGGAAAAGGAGAACCAAACTCAATGCACAATCCCAACTTTAGATTGTAATACATTCTTGCTAAAGCAAGGACAACCCATGTAGCTGAAGCTGACATGCTTTTGATTTGGGAGGCCTTCCAGGGCACCCATTGCATTGGTGATCATTGCGATCATCCAACATGTGAACGAAGTCGAACTGTATAGTGAGAATGAAGCAAAAAGTATTGAAATGTATTGAAATCCTCAGGCATCGCTAGTAGGTTGGAGGTCATCGCTATTAGGTTGGAGGCCATCGCTAGTGCCATCGCTTCTAGGTTGGAGGCCATCGCTAGTAGGTTCGAAGCCTGGTGTATTGAAATCCTCAGGGTCCGGAGGAAAACATCAATAAATGTTGACCATTCTGAAGTCAATGCCTCCAGACCTGGTCGATGCCTCCATGGTCCATGGTCTTGCACTGTGCTTGCAGTGTTTGCACTGTGCAGCGCTTTCCTTTGCACCGACTTGAGTTGTTCATCGGTTCTTCCTTCGAACTGGTCCGGAGTCCTTCGATTTGTGAGTTCTTGCCTGACAGGTCTGACGGGACCGTCTTGGTCATCCTCTCATCTTGGGAGTTGCTGCTTTCGGTATGATATCTCTTAGGAAAGCACAAACATCTAATTGAACTTGGTGGAAGATCGGCAGAGAAAGCACGGGGTACAAGCTCTTTGCATCCGATGTCTCAAAGACCAGAACTTTGAGGTGTTGATGAGAAACAAGACTAGAGTAGGCGATGGACCAGAAGGGGAACTGGGTCCCGCTCACAAGACAATAGTCCGGCCAAGTCCTTCACTTCACAACACAACGTATCCCAAACCCTTTAGAATCAATCTGAGTGTCACTGAATGTGCTCGTCATGGTTCTCTAAAAATGGGGGGACACCATGACCAACAAGTTTAATCGGTGCTGTTCAAAGTCTGACTATTTAAAGATACATCCAAATGCTCACAGCAATCTTGCTTGTTCCTTCTGCGACGGCACTGTTCTGCCAGGCGGCTCATGTCGCATGGTCTCTGCTTTCCTTTTGGACAACTCATCTGCCAACCTCAGGAGAGAGCGGTCACACCTCCAGCCTGGCACAAATCTTTGCTTGTTGTGTGCAATGCAAATGCTTGGATTGGCCCTTGTTCTGATGTCCACCCCTCCAACGAAATGGAGGATCAACCCACTTTCGGATGACACTTACTTGCACCAAGCTGCTGTTCCTCCAACATGGAAATCTGAGCTCGCCGTATTTTATCTTGCTCAGACTTCACATAGCCTCAGAGCTAGATCAAGATCCACGGTCATGCCTGTTGCTGTGCACAGGCAGAAAAATGTTTCTTCACAGAGGCTTGTCCCAGCAGGATGTGTGACACAGAAGCAACTACTAACAAGTGCATCGCTACTAGTAGCTTCTTGTTACTAGTAGTAACGCCCTTGTTACTAGTAGCTTCTTGCTCTTAGTAGTAAGGCCAGGAGCCCCTAGTAGCGTCCTTGCTCCCAGTAGCGATGCCATTTGTTACTAGTAGCTAGAAGCTGAGATTGGAGTTACGCACCGCGTCAACCGCACGGCTGAGACGACCACTGTAGTCTGTGAGGAGTTCTCGTCGTTCAGCACCTTCTGAGAGTGCACGCCGCTTCTTCTCGACGTTCAGCTCACTCTTCCCGTAGCCTGGCAATGTCAAGTTGAGCAAATGACGTCCCAAAGCCAAGAGTCCCACCAAGGGGTCTCTCTCAATATGGTTAGATTCAGGTGCTTGCAAATCTCTTTTTTGAGACAGACCCTGCACTTGCACCTGCATAGATGTTGTTTTCCACCAGCCGCTGCTTCAATTCGGCCGTCTTGGCCTCTTGTTCCCGCCTGGCCCAGACAAAGTGCTTCCAAACATCTGAGTTGAACAAAATCAGTTTGACCCCAGACGTTTGTGCGAAGGTACTCATCGTCCCAAAACATCAAAACTACTATTTACTCTTGAATCGAATCCGCCGACCCCACACCGTGGGGTGAGGCGTGACTGTCGATGTTAGCCTTAGCCTTAAGCCTTAGCCTTAGCCTTAATCCTTAGCCTTAGCCTTAGACTTAAGCCTTAGCCTCAGCCTTAGCCTTAGCCTTAGGATTAGACGTAGCCTTAGCCTTAGACCTTACCTCCCCTACCCCTCCGGACCTTTGTTGCAGTGACGAAATCCCGACCTAAAAGCTACGAGATTTGACGGGATTGCGACCTGAAAGCGGCCTGATGGTGACCTGGATTGTCCAAGATTCTGCCATCCCAATTGATTTACATCTTGGGGCACCCTCTCGACCCGCGCGGGAAAATAAGCACGGTCCAAAATGGTCCTGGGCTCGAATCCCGGGCTGGTCGCGGCGTGGTCCCGGCCAATGCCCTTGCTTTTTCGTAGATTTTGTCACGTTTTCTGTTGGTTTATGAGATTTTCAAAGGCTTTTCTAGCATTTTCCTAGGAATGCTCTCGGCTTTGTCTAGATTTTGTTATGTATTCGGCTGGATGCTTTTCCAAGAATTTTCTAGCGCTTCCTCTTGTTTTTAGGTTCCCAGATTTCTCCCAAAAATTGGTAACCTTTCCAGATTTCTCCCAAAAATTGGTAACCTTTTGCTAACCTATGGAACTTTCAAAGGCTTTTCTAGCATTTTCCTAGGAATGCTCTAGGCTTCGCTAGGGGAAACAGACGACAACGCACAGACTGCGAAGCGGGTGCTACCATGACATGTGAGCAACCTATAGTGGCTTCAAAACAACTGTGGTGTCCAGAGGAACGGATGTGTCACAGAACGTGGCCGTGGTGATTGTGGGTACCTTCTCGGGTCTTATCAGTGCCCGCCTTTGTGGGACCCGCTTTGGAACCCTTGGCAAAGGGATGCCTTGGTGGTAATGGGTTGGGTCGCCGGGAGAAACCGATCGATTCAGCACAAGTCCGAGCGCCGATACGTGTGGCATTTGAATGTACCCTAGACCATGGGCAGCGCCCTGCGTTCCCACAGGCCGCAGAACCCAACGCGTCACGGGGTTCATGCAAGAGCTGACGTCCGATGGTAAATCTGGGAGGTACCCAAAAAGTCGACTTTTTGGGTACCTGCTTTGGTAGTGCTGGGTTGGGTCTAGACTCTTGGGCTTCAGCATTACGGGGTTCATGCAAGAGACGACGTCCGATGGTAAACCTGGGAGGTACCCAAAAAGTCGACTTTTGAAAAAACAGAGACAGTCCTCTATCGTGGAACCCACCTTTGCAGTTTGGCCTGCGAGGGGTCCTCGGCGATAGAGTGTGCCTGGACAGCAGGATATAGACGCGGACTCGTCGGTGAGGAACGCATCATCATCACCACAGGGTTCATGCAAGAGATCACGTATGGTAAATCTGGGAGGTACCCAAAAAGTTGTGGTGGTGATGGGTCTGAACTCTTAGGCAATGATATCCTTTATGGGGAGAAGGGTTCAGCATCACGGGGTTCATGCAAGCGATGACGTCCGATGGTAAATCTGGGAGGTACCCAAAAAGTCGACTTTTTGGGTACCTGCTTTGGTGGTGATGGGTGGGTACCTGCTTTGGTGGTGCTGGGTTGGGTCTAAATTCTTGGGCAATGATATCCTTTATGGGGAGGAGGGTTCAGCATTACGGGGTTCATGCAAGAGATGACGTCCGATGGTAAACCTGGGAGGTACCCAAAAAGTCGACTTTTTGGGTACCTGCTTTGGTGGTGAAGGGTTGGGTCTAAATTCTTGGGCAATGATATCCTTTATGGGGAGGAGGGCTCCGCATCACGGGGTTCATGCAAGAGATGACGTCCGATGGTCAATCTGGGAAAAAATACCGCGGTCCACCCACGCACGGCTGGCCCAGCAGCTCCCTTCCGTGGCCTTTTGTCTCGCAGGTGTTCCCTTTGGCGACTGCGTCGCGCGAGCACGGGACTACACATCCCTTGCGCGCCTCGTCCAGCTCCGGCAGCCGTCGGCTTCCGCCAACCTGCCAAAGCACTGCGCGCCGGCGTTTTCCGCCCACGACCACTACACCGAGCAGTTTTCCGTGGCCTGCATAAGGGGACATACATGGGCAACGCCCTCGCTGGCTGAAGCGACCTAGCGAACACCATGGGCAGCGCCCTTCACCCCCAGGAAACGCATAACACAGACACCGGCTGCCTCTCACCCGACGACTTGGGTGATCCTGCATTTTGCTCCAGGGGTGCTCCAGGAAACCCTACCCTCCCCACATCCAGGGCAACGTCCTTCCTCCCACCGTGGAACCACCCGCTTCCACACCCTTCCGTCCCCCCCGGCCTACCGCACTGCAGACATTCCGCCACGCGCGCGTGCCGCCCGCATGTACATGGCTACGGTCTCTTCCCTCGCTGGCACGAGAACCTCGCCACCACCTGCCCAAGCTTCCGTTTGCGCTGCTCCGTCCTAGAACCAACACGCCACATGGCGCGGACACGGGCGCCTGACAGGCATGCGAAAATCTTACCAGAGCCTTTCACGTTACCACGGGCACTGGCCGGACCTCGTCCAGCGCAAAGTCTAAACAAAGCCTAGAGCATTCCTAGGAAAATTCCAGGGCATTGGCCGGGAACACTAGAATCGAATAGGTTAAAAATAATAAGTTAATCAATTTTTGGGCAAATCAGGGAGCCTAAATGCAAGAGGAAATGCTAGATAATTCTACAACCATGGAAGAAAATAGGGGAACTCCTACCCGGGTCCGGAGGGGTAGGGGCGGTCTAAGGCTAAGGCTAAGTCTAAGGCTAAGGCTAGGCTAAGGTTAAGGCACTGTCACGCCTCACCCCACCTCTCTGCCTGGAGCAAGGCTAGCGCTAAGGTTCTATCCCTTGGGGGTCGGCGGCTGCAGGCGGTAGCCTGGTAAATATTAATCATGACGTCATCAGCCATGAGCCAGCCTCTTGATGATGCGCTGCTCAATGCATCGCTTGGTGCTCAACATGGCGACGAAACTTCAGGGCTCCCGGCTCGACGAAAATTGCAAGTGTTGAAACATGAGTTTCTCCAAATATTTGGTCACTTCCGTGAGCCACCCTCGAGTGCAGGGCAAAAAGTTTGCTCCTTGAGCCCAACAAAAAGAGCAAGGCATCAGAATTCATCCATAGTCAATAGGGCATCGCTACTAGTAGCAAGGGCATCGCTACTAGGAACAAGGACGCTACTAGTAGCTCCTGGCCTTACTACTAGGAACAAGAAGCTACTAGTAACTTGGAGGCATATTCAATCCATGCGCACGTTGCTGCTCTGAGCGGTTCAAAGGATCGGCCACCTCTTGCTGATCGCCGTGGCCAAAACAGTGATCCAATGCAAACGATTCCAGATCGCTTCTGAATCCCAGGCAGGCACGAAGTTGTACTTATGAGGCTTGTGAGGTTCTCATTACCATTTCTTCTCTTTGCGCTTCAGCTATGTCTTTTTGCGAAGCCTCTTTGCGCTTCTTCCGTCCACCTCACCGTGGCGCGCTTCACCACTGTTCGCCGAGGTGTGACCTCGCGAACGCGACCGGACGATGGGATCGACGTGAACACGGTCACGTCACATGTGTTTTGCTGGCGGTGCGCTGTAGGTCGTGTCCTCTTTTTCAGGGGTCTGAGTTCAAATTCACTGGCTCTATTTGAGAATGGTTCAATTTTGGGGTAGTTTCACACCAAACAAATAATGCTATCTTACTATTCATCAACAAAATGCCGCTCATGGCTGCTGCAACTGTACAACTTAGGGTCCAAGCTTTAATTCACAGACCGCGCAGCAAAGAACATTAGGGAAACTTGTCTTTGGACACATCATAAATTTATATCGAAAGGTTTATTGTCCAAAATGCAAGTGTTCCTGCACAAGCTTGCGGGATACAGAATTGCAAACCAAGAATGCAATAGTCTTGTGACAGGCCAAAAACTTGGGGAGATCCTGGTGAAAATGCGAATCACCTTTTCAAATTGCAGCGAATTCCCAACTACTCAGAGTCAGCCATCAGCAGACCAAGATGCACCGAGATGCACTCCCGTTCACCATTGGGTGTTCGGAAAAGTATGTCTTCCTGCTTTTGTGTGTCTGTGAGTGTGTGTTAAGAGTCTCAGTGTTCACACGAAAACTGAAGAAGAGGCTCTTACCAGCTGCTGGTCGGGGTTTTCTGTGTCCATGGCTGCTGGTCGGAGGCGCCTTCAGAGTTCCAAGATGTTCTCGCTCTCAGAAACCTGGCCGATGTGTCTTTGCGGAAAATCGCGAGGTGTCTGGCAGGAGTTACGTATCTTCCCATGTCAACCTGACGCTCCATGGTCCTGCCATGTCAAGTACTTGACTGTAAGGTCTTCAGTCTTCCACCACTCGCCCACCGCTCCCGATCTCCGCCGACTCCAGCCGGGAGAGCGTGTCAGAGAAGTCACCGAAACGTGGTCGTGTTGATCCAAGGTGAAGACGATGTTCTTGTTGCAGTAACAAGAAGCTACTAGTAGCATCTAGTAGCTAAGGGCATTACTAGTAGCAAGAAGCTACTAGTAACAAGAGGGTATTACTACTAGTAACAAGTGTCTTATTTTTGTTGCCGTCGTGTTTTTCCGACATCAACAGTGCTGAGCCGTGGGCATGGAGAAATCTATAGACTTTGGAGCGGTACAGAAAGTGATACTTGGCAGAGCAGGGGGCTTGGCAATCCAGTTTGCGTGCATATGATGGGGTTGAGGGTGTGGCCAGGCGTAAGTATGAGAAACACGGGGCTTGGGGACGCAGTTTCCGTGCAGAACACAGGGCAGGTTGGGGCACGTGAACAGGCCCGGGCAGGTTGAAGACTGTCTAGTTTGTACCTGGTAGGTACCACCTGGTAGGGCCTCAATGCTGCCTTTCACCCGTTGCGATGATAACACGGAGCCGGGTAACCCGTACACAAAAGACAGTTTGCCTGCCTTGGGCGGCAAAGTGAATTGGCCTGTTTCTGGGCTTTCAGCTATCTGGAAAGAGATGGATCAGATTGCGCAGCAAAGGATTTCCAGGAAAGCTAGACACATCCAAAAAGAATATCCCTATAAGCTCTCAGGTTGGAGGCCATCGCTCTTAGGTTGGAGGCCATCGGTCTTAGGTTGAAGGCCATCTCTAGTAGGTTGCACATCTGAAAATGTTTCTCAACTTGGCCCGCACGCTTGCAACTTGAGACACCAGGTGTCGTGCGCAAGTGTTACAACTTGGGCTGAGCGATTGGAAAACGGATCCGCTCATAAGCTGCTCATGTCGATTTTGGAGCAATGCTTGTGACGCTCAGGTAGTAAAAACATCCTAACTGACAGTGTTTGTCTGCCATTTTTGAGAAACGATAGACGCAGCGAGCAACGTGCACAAACTGCGGAAACACCGGTGTTTTGGGCAGAAAACATGTAAGAGACACTGTAAAAATCATGGTACTTGGCTCCTAATGCCAAAACCTCCGTTTATGATTGTTTATGAATGTGGCTCTGGGCTTGCCGAGGTTCAAAAACATCGGTATCTACAGTATATATGTTGTTCCGATGCGGAAAAATACAAAAAGACAATCTGATTATCATATGAACTCTGTGCTTTTTGGTATCTAAACATGACATAAAAAGTTGACAGTACTTCGAAACCTAGATGGGAATTTACGGAAAACATGTGACAATGTCACTGTTGGCTTCAAGACTTGTTTACAACAGGTGAACAAGCGCTTGAACTGAAAGACGTGTCGCAAGAATGTTCGCACCGGCCTCTCTGCGTGCCCCTGCGCAGCTTTCAAAGGGCAAGAGCGAGACTGTTAATACCAACCTGATAGCAATGGCCTATCTCACGGCACCTTATTGCAGCTTGGGAAAGGGTCAAAATGGGAGATCTTCCAGACCGGGCTAAAAGGCCGCTGTGTGGAGCAAAAGAAAGCGATGATGAAATCACCAGCGAAACCGACCTGTGAAACCTTCCTGTGAAACTCACGGATGCTCCTTCTCTGACACTTCTGTGACACGGTGACCCCATCCGCTTCGCAATCCGGCACCCGCCTGCTTGAGAGCTGGAGGACCCGTGAGGCCCCTGAGGCAACTACATTGAGAGCACCGTGATACATGTTCTAAAGGCCGCTCTGCCAGCCTTCCAACCTAGAAGCGATGGCCTCCAACCTAATGGCCTCCTCCAAAATTTCTCTCATGCAATGGCACGGCTACTCTTCTTTTGGGCTGGACCAGTACCAACCTCAATGGATACAAACTATTTCTGTTGAGGGAAGAGCAAAATCCCAAACCCACCCATTCAATGCGCTCTCACATCGTCCTGAGACCGGTTATTGGTTCTCCCCTGCCATTCAACAAACGGAAGCAACTTTGGATCACCTTGAAGGTGGCTTCCTCGTCCTCACCGATGTCAAAGAACGAGGTGCCGATTTTCTCCATGGGACCTCAGGTTAATCAAGACTGAGGAGTGGGTTACAGACTATGTGTAAGTCTATTTGGAAAACTGCACCGCACCAGTACTGGTGGGGGGCCTCACGTCACTTGTTTGTTGTCGTGCCGGTGTGTGCTCTTTTGGGGCACAGCCGACGAGCCGAGCATCTATGGTCTATGGCCTCCAACCTAATACCAAAAGGAACCTAATAGCAAGGGCCTCCGACCTAAGAGCGATGGCCTCCACCCTGTGGTACAGGGTATGTGGTACCAGTTCGAAATGAATCAAGAATCACACTGACCGTGAAATGCTCCCGATGTTGGCACTCCACAGAATCTGACACTGAGCTAGTGGTCACGGTCGCATCACTGCGAGAACCAGCTTGGGGCCCGTGCTGGAATCAAAGACCTAGGAGCAAGGACGTTACTAGTTTTCGTCTTGATTTCATCTTTCGTCCTTGAGCAAGGACGCTACTAGGGCCTCCTGGCCTTACTATTAGTAACAAGAAGCTATTAGAAACAAGAAGTCCATAGAATTAGAAAAATTGTAAATTAGAACTTAATTAGAACTTGAGGCCAAGGGGGGGGGCGAAAGCTAGCGCTCCAGAATGGGAAAGTGGAGGGCAGCGAGGTAGGAAAAAACACGGCGCTCTTTTTGGAGGCAGGGGTGAAGAGTCCTTTATATGTGGCTCTTTGCCCGGATCCTCCTGCGAGAGAAGGGAGAGAAGAGAGACGGAAAGACGAGAGACAGAGAGGAGAGAGAGAGAGAGAGAGGAGAGAGAGATGAGAGAGATGAGAAAGAGATGAGAGAGATGAGAGAGATGAGAGAGATGAGAGAGATGAGAGAGAGAGAGACAGTGAGACAGTGAGACAGTGAGACAGTGAGAGTGAGAGTGAGCGAGTGCGGCCGCAAGATACGCAACGCTAACCGCATGCCAAAGAGCGACGACAGGACGGAGGCGAAAGTGAAGGAGGAGGAGAGGGGAGGTGGGGTGGGGAGAGGGGAGAGGGGAGGAGGGTGAAAGAGTGACTAGGGCGTACACGGTAGAGGTGCAGACCGCTAGTGTCTTTTGCTCACGCAGAGTCTTATCCTATATCTCTTGAGCCTTATGGCAGTCAAGCATGGACACACTAGATAGGCCACTGGAGTGGAACCTGTACAAGTAGGCTCTACCTTTCAGCAGGCACAAAATTCATGTCCACTCCTGCCTATTGCGTATGTCGCATACTATTTTCTACCGCAAGGCTAAAACAGTCCAGCAAGCTCTATTACGCTTAAAAGGAAACCACGGTGCCCTGTACTTACCAATTTCAGTGTGTTTCACACTTTTGAAAAGGTAATCTCTAGGTTTACTAAATACAGTGAGGGAGCAATAGCTGACTCACCTCAAATACAAAGTCAGAGACAATGTATCTCGGCTGGAGACTGTATTGTTCACCGGCGAAGATACCGTGTACCGGCGCTCAATAGCCCTTAAATAGCCAGAGCTTCAAAGAAACTTAAATTCAAGGGAAAGCGGCTTTCTTACACAGAGACCTGTAAAAGCAGTAAACGACACTCGCGTAACGAAGAACTAAAAATTCAAGACCGCACAAATTGCAATGAATTCAATGAATTAAGATGCCTTGC